GAGCCTGACATTTTAATTACAATTGATTCTATCATCAACTACTGGTTTGGCTCATCATTTGCAGCTTTGAAAAATAATGTGCATAACAGTAGCATTAAGCTACTTTCCTTTCCAGAGCAAAAACTGGCAGATAAGGAAAAGTAAGTATCTGTATTCAATGGCTTAAATTGGTCAAAGTCATAATCAACACACTTGATACTGGTTTGATTTTTTTTGTTTGTTCACAACATACTTCAAAGGCCAGAAGAGCTACAGACCCGGTCACATCTCCTAGCATTTCTCTGTGGGAACGGGTTCTTCATCTCCCTTTAGAAAGTATGCATATATTAAACCATACTTTTTAATTACTCCCAGACTGAGAAAGCTTGGATCATGTATCTGCCATCTTAAGGTTTCCACAGTTGTATGTTGGATAGAATAAGGAAAGCTGTCATTGACAGAAGGATCTGTAGATTGGCCAAAGGAAAAATTAACATTCTAAATTAAAAACAGTCCCAAAATGTTAGCAAAATGTACCAACTTGTTCAGGGGACTTCAATCTACTTCAGCCCAGTCTGCCATGGTACTTATTTTGTCCATAAGCACCAAAGTGTGAAAACTCAAGCATTTGTCCAGAATTACCGCACATAGACCATTCTCAAATTCTACTCTGTAGATCACTTACAAGTTCCCCATATTCTCTCCAACTCAAACCACCAAAAAAAAAAATCCAATCCTCATTCACACTTTTGCATAGTTTGGCATTTTCTGGAGTTGTACTTTTGTTTTCTTTCATAGCTTTTGAGGGGACTCATCTGTCACATATGCAAGTACTTCCAGTCTAAATCCTTCAGGAGAAAAACTGAGTCCCACTTAAGCAGCAAGCTGTCCAGGACTGTTTTGACATTCTTCTTTCAATTCAAAGAAAAGATTACTCAGTTTTATCTGCACTTTCAGATTTTTCCCTTTGCATCATGCAGCGACGAACTATGCTGTCAAAACTTCCTAGGTAAAATAGGCCAACGATGCGAAAAATGCCCATGCAAACAACCTGGAAACAGAGAGAAACATCTTTCAATTCATTTAAGATCCCAGATTGCAGCATATTATGTACTAGTGAGATAAAAAAAGTTCCAGGCAGGTGCATTATATAACCTCAAGAAAACAAACTCATGAAAACCATCATAACTATGTAACAGTTCAGGACTGAGTAGCAGGTAGTAATCTTAGCTTTCCTGCCAACTTGCTGCTTCAGCTTGAAAATACCATTTCAGTTTCCTAAACCAAAGTCTCCACAGTATTAACAATCGTTTGATGAAAAAATAATCAGTTTGCATAACGTTCTACAAGAAATTGTGACTACGGGGCCTTCCCAAATCTTACCTGCTGAAGACCTTCAGTAATAGAAGTGACCGGTGACATTCCACTTGTCAGTATTGATAGCATGTAACCATCTGATCCGACTGAGCTGTTAAAGTTCCCTTGCTGGATGGAAGGAAAACAGCAATTAAGAAAAAAGTAATTTACCCAGTTGTGGCAAATCATGATGTGTCTTATTTCAACAGGTGTTCTTGATGAACATAGCTGACTGATGTCACTAACAACAAATATTTTTATATTAAAAAATATTAACGCAATTAAGAATCAAAATATTCAAAAATGTTTTGTGCTATACAGCAACATTCCAAAAGGCATTCACTTAAAAATGGACAAGGAAGCTAACTTCTCTTTAGAGGGAGGTGTGCTAAATTACTGCAGATATCTTTACAAGATAGAAAGGCTCTAATTTTATTCTTGAAGCATGCTTACTGATGGAGAAAATGCATGATGGGCTCCCCATCTGTAAATATATTTCAGAGACAGAATTACACCCTAACTCTGTCAGATCGCCAATCAGAACTATAATTGTAGAATACAATACTGCTTGCCTTTTGTTAAAATTAGTTTGCTATCACAGGAGATTTGGCAGGGGGCTGTATTCCAAATGCTAGGTAACAGGTCCTCCTTCATCTATGTCAAGGATTTTTAACTTGCTCTCCTCAAAACTGTGAGATACACAGCCTGCTAAGCAATTCAGCTGGCAGAAGAGGGTGGACAGACACCAGGAAAAAGTTGTTTGGTTGGTTGGTTTTTGACTACTCATCAGGAAAATTGCAGCTCTATAGCTCTGACTCCCAGGCTTCTCCCATTTGTTTCCAGCAGACTTTATGCTGGAAAACGCTTTCTGAAACACTGCAGGACTAAATCTATGGAATGCAGAAGTGAAATGAGAAGGTGGTGTTCCTGAGTCAGGGTTAGGAGTGAATCTATGCAAAGTAGTAGAGGATATGAGACTTGGTTATTTCCCAACATACACCTGCAAGGACTGTGAGTTCCTATGGTACAGAGCTACCTTTTAATTTCTATTTTAGTCTCTTAGCTGATGGCTTGAGTGCATAAAGACCACGTCTGAACTAACACATCATCCAACGTGCTGGAAAGCATGGTGTAGAAATACCAGATGCTTAAGACTAGCGAGGTTAGTTTTCCTTAAGCACCAAAGCAGAATATTGAGTCACCATCCCTGGAGGTATTTAAAAGACGGGTAGATGAGGCGCTTAGGGACGTGGTTTAGTGGGCATGGTGTTGTTGGGTTGACGGTTGGCCTCTATGATCTTGGAGGTCTCTTCCAACCCTAATGATTCTATGATTCTATGATTATGTGAGGTAGTACTTGATTTTAAAACTCACCACCCCAGAAAGACACATCATTTTGTGTTTATGTACTGCATTTGTGAAAATATTGCAAAAAACTTCACAATTGAACACCTGTTGTAGATATAAATCATGTTGAAAATCAAGAGTATTTGGAACTGCAAAATAATTACAGATTTTTGGATTCAACCGCTGTGCTTTATGAACGTGAAATTTCATGTTTGTTTGCATTCTGAGGTGCTTTATTAAGCATGCAAGCATTCCATAGCACAAAGCATTAAAAAAAATTCCTCAGAAAGGCAATACACTTTTAACCACTAAGAGTGGCATTTTATGTATTTTAATCACTCATAAATCACATACTTAAGACATTAAAAGCCAAAAAGGCTAGACTGCCTTCATTTATTGTAAAGTATTTTTATATGAACTCATCTTCAAGAAAAATAAGATAGTCCAACAAGCTTTTGAGGTTAGACAAATGGTATTTGATACATGAAAAGTCAATAGAGTTTAGTGCTTTAAAGTCAGTCATAATCTGCCTTTGAGACATTGCATCATACTGATGCATCTTTTGTTCTGCCTAATGTACAACTTCAGATACTTTTTAGTTCCAAGAAACTGTATAAAATCATTTGTGGGCATGGTGGCAAAAGAATAAAGAAAATACTTCCTGTTCAAACTAACCAGCAGAGAGTACTGTTTCATGTAAATTGATTTTGCATTTAGCTTAGCCACTGTCTTACAGTCTTAAACAAGCATTACATGCGATCCTAGTCTCTCCAACGAAGAACATACTTTAAAAAGATAATTTACTTACTATGGCATCTTTGACTATAACTCTGGCGACTTGTTCTGCTTGGCAAACAGATGAGGTTTCAGAAATTAGCTTCGTCTCTAAGGGCTTTAGTAGAAAAACACCAATGTAAGTTTGACTAACAGCACACAGAAGAGAAAAACATGAAGGTCAAATTTTGGTTTTGGGTCTTTTGTCATGGATGACATCACTGTTAGCAAGTGGTATCATACTGTCACTTAAAACATCCACTTAAAGAAAGGTAAAAGCACCTTCATAAATAATAGTCTAATTTTATGAAGGGAAATGCCAACTTTTCCTTGAGTAGTACTTTTTTTTTTTATAGTTTATTACTAATAAAATATGAAAAAGTGTTTTTTTCCCCCAAGTATTTCAGTAGAAGTTATCAAAATGCTTAAACTATGTCTTCTCAACACCTCTATTAGTTAATTATATCTTTTGCCAGAAATGAAGTAAAAGATAGGCCTGAAATATTTTAAGATCCTACAAAACAACTTTTTTTTAATTTCTCAAACTCCACATGCTGGTATCCACCAAAATCCATCACTGCATTTTATTTCTTTGTGTTTTAGAGCATTTATGCCACTTTACGTCACTAGAAGAAAGCAATTATGGCAGCTATTTTAGCAATCACATATTCTTTCACAAAAAAAACCCCAACAAAAAAACCCTACCAAAAAACCAACAAGTCTGGTCTGTTACAAAAACAAATGGCAAAAATATGCTTTAAAGTATTTAGAAGCATGTTTGTCATTCATGTCCTTTTAACAAATAAAGCAATGATGGAGCTAACTGCACAACAACCTATTTAATACTCAGTATGTTAAGATAGATGGTTCTGTTGATGAAGAAAAAACAGCGCTAAATGGGGAGAAGAGTACTTGGTTGTAAGTCAACTTGTTGTAATGGCTAATTCAGTTACCTTTAACAACTAAATTTAATTGAAGCATTCAAGCCTAGTCAAATACTGGGATTAGTTTAATTCTGAGATTAGTACTTTAAAAAAGCACTTCTAGGGAAGAGCTGAGCAACTACACGTTTCCACAGAAATTAAATTTCACAGAAACAGGCCTATTTCCAAATACCTGTAGAATTACGAATCCTGATTTCACTGCCCAGGCTCACTGAAAACTTTTTTTTTTTAAAGTATGTTTATTTTAAGCTGGGGGGGGAATCAGTGTCTCTGACAGCAAAAATCACATACAAACACCTTTCACACGCTTTCCTACAATGATACGGCTTATGTCATCAGATCTCCATCTCATAACCCCTACGTACTTTTGAACTTACTGGCCAGTATCAACCAAATCTGAAAGAGATACAGGGATGTCAACAGTAATTAAAATACTGTTAAGTTTGGGAAAAAATTAGCAGCTGTTCAGGAACAACAGCTGAAGTTAATGACATATTGAGAAAAAGGGAGACAGAAATCAGCCATTAAATACTTGATCTGGCTAGCCAGCCAAAGAACTGTTATCATTTGTAAAGCAGTTAGGAAGGAGGGAAAAGGAAGGAGGGAAAAGGAAGGAGGGAAAAGGAAGGAGGGAAAAGGAAGGAGGGAAAAGGAAGGAGGGAAAAGGAAGGAGGGAAAAGGAAGGAGGGAAAAGGAAGGAGGGAAAAGGAAGGAGGGAAAAGGAAGGAGGGAAAAGGAAGGAGGGAAAAGGAAGGAGGGAAAAGGAAGGAGGGAAAAGGAAGGAGGGAAAAGGAAGGGAAAAGGAAAAGAAGAGCTTAATGATTAAACACAGAAAAGCTGTATCCTAGTTCCTGACATTTTCTTTTACTATATTCAATGATTATAGACAAAAATAGCCTAGTCCTAAAGAGATGCAAACTACAGAGACAGGTGTTCTAAACTAAGCAGTATTAAATAAATGAAACAATAATAAACGAGTATCTGAACTGTCAGAGCAATGCAATATTGCAGAGATTTAAGGCGCACTATCACGATAGGAGCAAGTCACCCGAGGACTTTATGTATGCTAAAACAAAGCATAAGTCTTTGCTTAAAAGACAATACCTTTTTAACAAGTAAGATAAGTCTCACTGGATCTCTCTGAAAGAGAAATCTTAGATGAACAGTGCATTTTGCTGGTGACTATATTTCCCTGAAATAGGCTATTATGAAGAAAAAATCCCAGAGAATATGCAAGCTAGACAGGTATCTGCAGATGTCTAATTCTGGCACTTTATATGGATGTGTGGGAGTATACATTTAATACAGAATATCTATATCAAGAAATGATGAAGTAAGAATTGTGTGGTACAATCCTACTGATTCCTATACAAAGGGTGAAAGACAAAATGGAATTCAACCCAAATTTCCTATTATACATGATGGGGCGTCTTGAAAAGGCTGATCTCCTTAGATACCAGGTTTCTAGTTCACGGTACGCAAATAAAAAATAGACACATTTTTCTCTGGTTACCTGATACTTCAGTCTGAACAGGGGGCCTGAACGTAGCTTTTGGAATTATACTTCGTATGTAGGGACACGTCAAATGACAAGAGGCAACTAAATTTTTGAAGGTCAAAACTTTCCTTTTCAAGGTAAGCCAAATGAAAAAGGCCTACTGCTGACACACCCTTCTGAAAAGTGATACTGTCATTTGCACTACAAACACAGTGCAAGAGTTTCCTTCCTACTTTAATACTAGACAACAGCCACTATTGAATTGTGTCATTACATATATGCATACAGCGTAGCATCGTTAGTTTGCAGACTTCACTGAAGGAACTGAGGTTTATTTTGATCTGTCACATCTATCAGAACAACTGCACGTTATCAAAGATGCAAAATAGGAATATTGGTTTTGGCTCATTAAGCTTTGACAACAAGACAAATAGTGGTTTTACAGTTTACCATTCCACAACAATATTTCAATTGTGTACAGAAAGACTTTGCAGTGTTTCAGATATTAAAAGGTAGGTAGTTCTTCCATTTAAAGCCAGAACAATAAACTACACAAAATTATCCTACAAGCTATTTAACTCTGACTAGTTAGGTTGATAAAATTGAAATGTTTAAAAGTACTTCCTAAAACCTTAATATGCACCGATTTCAAAAGTACTACGGGAGTGAATGAAATCTGAAACGCATTACTTACTACGAAGGGAAGCTTTAAAAACTTTACAGTATTACTGAAGAACCGTTTACCTTTGTTTTGCTTTCTTCTGCAAAGCCAGGTGTGTCAGTATCTGGAGGATAGGCCACTGTTACGTAGATATTATAAGGTTTTACCTGTATTTCACAAAAGTAAAATAGTGTTATCTTAATACTGACAGCCTTTGCATGTCCCTCATAACTTCGTTAATTTCTCTTGTACCGAAGAAATAGAGCAAGCATGAATTTAAATTGCTTCTAGTGTTAAGTCACCCTCATATTCAGCACTTGCAAGACTCAGAGCTTTGTCAAATGGGAAAGCAAAACAGCAAAGATCTTAAAGAGATAGTTGTGGTGTTTTGTTTAATAAAAATATCTTTGCATTTGATGTAAATTATTTGATGAATCTAAGCATTTTTTAAGACATTTAGGAGGAACGTGAAAGTAGTTTAGTTCTACGATTTCACCAATTTCAATTTTAAAAAAAGACTAAACCATTGCCAAACACCAGTACCCAGCATTCATAAACACAAGGCCAAAAAGACTTTCACTGAGGCCTATTAGCATGCTTTTTTGTTGTTGTTTGTGTCAAGATAATTTCACTGCTGGACAAATATGAGAAAAAAACCAACAAAAAATGTAAAACTCAAATTTGATATCTTTAAAAGGTATACTCAAGTCACAAGGCTTTTCAACCCATGGTATAAACTTGCAAGGGGTCAAAATCTAAGGAGACAAAAAAATAAGTAGAAAGCGTGAGGAAAAAATGGAAGGTCTCATGTCAAGATTGCATTTAGTTATGTATTTGTATGTAGGTGTCATAGAATTACATCACTTACTGCACTACTATTCAGAAACTACTACAATGCAAATCTGTACTCCAATACAAATAAAGAAGCTTTAAATTAAAATGCTTTATCTTAGCCCTCTGAACAAAGTGTTGTAAAGCACTAAGCATTTTTATTTATATTATGAAACATTCTATATTGAAAACACTTCCTGAAATACCACATCACAGGTCCATAAACGCCCTATTTTTAGTTTTGAATAATTCAGTCTTCACAAAAATACCTGTCACCAGTCTGAAGAAAGACCCTGCAGTCATGTTGTTCTATTTGGCAGGCCAGAAGCGATTAGAGGCAGTTTTACCCCACATTCATCGTATGCCTGATCAAGGCATACAACCCACACTGAACAGAACAGGGTGACAGCAGGGACTATGCAAGGGTCTCGAACCAAACACAGACACTTAATATATAAACACTTAACAACTAAAATATACATTCTTAACAGAAGAATAAGGGAAGTAATTTTCAAATAAATTTTACCCGTCTTACTACAATGTACTTACCAACCTTGTTCCACTGAATAATGAAAACAGTGTTTGTTTGGTCTTTAGTCTTGACTTAAGCATACGCTTCGATCATTGCACTATAAAAAGCTCATATATACCAAAATTTAGAAGGGTGAACCACTGTAAACACATTTTTTTTTGTGGAGAATCCTCAAATTCTAGCTTGCAAGTTTTACTGTTTCATATGGTTCACAAACCACTTACCATGGCCTCACAAACAAGTTGGGAATCACTGGCCCGCCCCTCATGCATCCACAGGATCTTCAGCATCATTCTGAACTTAGAGCCTTGAAAAAGTCTTTTACTCAAAAGACTTAAAATCCAAGTCCTTTTAGTTAAAATAAAAGATTAAAAAAATGTCTGCACATGTGTTCAGTTCTAGGAACAGATTCAATCTATTCTCTCTTATGCAACTGAAATCAGCTTAGTTTCTGCAATCCCATGCAGAGCAATAGGATTGTACTGCTGCCAAAAAAAGGGTCAACATAGCACACAGATATCAGCAGTGCTGCACAAGACAAAAAGAGAACTATTGAAATGAAAATGTGCTGTGCTGCTAGTTAAAAAAAAAAGAATATTTTTGTTTACAATCGAAAATATTCAAATTACTGCACACATACCTCCATTTGCAGGGCTTCAGCCAACCCTCGAAGAGCAAACTTTGTTGGAGAATAAGCTGTATAACCAAATAGGCCTAATTGCCCAGCCTGAGATGATACAAACACAATCCTTCCCATTCTTCGTTCCTTCATGGTCGCGATTACTGCTCGACTCGGGTAAACACTACCCAGATAATTGACTGCCATTAATCTCTGTACAAATGATATTAATATGGTATTTGAGCCACAGATTCACAATCCTTCACCTGTTTCGTATTATTTATCAAAAATCCATATTTCAGTCTGCTTTAACAATGAAGTTCACTAGATCTGTAAGTTCTATCAGCTGGCAAAAGAAACAACAATTGTTTTCTATTCTACAGCTTCATAAACTGTTTTATAGCTAAAAATCTCACTTCAAGCCAAACGAAATCCAGTCTATCTACAAGTGTTAATAGCATCCAGGATACTGATAATACTGTGAACCATATGGCCTTCAAGGGAAAAAAGAAGAATATTTGAGGGAAAATCTAACCTAAACAGTATCTAGGAAGCAACCAATTTACGCATGATGTATAAGAACATACTGAAATCAAAGTTTAAAGAGCTTTCTAAAACAGGAAACAGGAAAAATTCTATGTATTTATGCATTTCAGAGATTTTAATCTTTGGCAGGATAAGGGGAAGTCTTTAATTTCACTCTCTAGTAGAAGACCTAAAACACAACTGATAGCCTATACAAGCAATAGAATGCATGATTCAAATTTATTATAAAATTATGCCTATTTAGTATTTTCAGATGATTCAATGTTACCTGTAGATGACTGGGGGCCTGAGGGCTGCAGGCATAAAGTAACGGTAATACAGGGGTTTGGGGGTTTTTTGGGGTCTTTTTGTCAAAGCAGCAGCTTCTCAAGCTGCAAAAAATTTTGCAGAGTTGAACACTGATAACAGTCAATTTTTCTTAAATAGGTTAAAAACATATAAAAAAAAATCTTCACCAGGAAAAAAAATGAGACCATGTGAAATTCAGTGCCTTTCACAGTGCATTAAACTATAAAAATGCACGCCAGGCTTTTTCGCCATCTTGAGGACTCTATCCCAGAGGGAGAATTCACTGTTCTGACCCATCAATGGACCAATAGTGAGGTGAGAAGTTAGAGGCAATCCTCGTAAATCTAAAGATACGTTCTAATTCTGACAGCTACCACAGATCAAGTGTATCACTATTCATACAAAGTCTGCAAAGACACAGGAATGCAATCTAATTGTTAACAGTTGAATAAGAAACATCATATAATAAAATAAAAAAGTATGCTCACTCACTTCGAAAGAATTCACTTCAATATCCTCAAATTTTCCTGTAACTGATGTTCCTGCACAGTTTACAAGCATGTCAACTGGCCCCAACTTCTCCTGAGCCTGGAAGAAGGAATAGAGGTTAAGATGTTCTATAGCAGGGAAAAAACCTTCCTATAGTTTCTTATAATGATACTGTGCTATTTCCATTAGAAATACATCACACACAGATAAGCTTCTTAAGATACATAGGTGAATCAATTACTTCCTCACCTGTTTTAGAACATTCTCCACCTGTTCGTAGTCTTTAGATACATCAACAGAAATACATAGTACAACCTAGAAAAGGGAAGTGAAAGAACGTTTTTACAACACAGTCCAGTAACTGTTGACTCCGAACCTTTCCAAATGAAACAAAGGACAGGACAACAAAAAACAGATGACAGTGATATCTAAGTTTTGTTGCAGCTAAAAGTTAAGCCCTGTTTTTCTTGAAAGTTACTGATTACTTTCGGCAAGATGAGCTCAGAATCTATGTTTTGAAGCACCTTCAAATCAACTTCTGGCCAAAGGAAGCACTGCCTTTGGGTTACCACTTACAAACTGTAAGATCACTACACACTCCAGCTTAGAATCATAGAATCATTAAGGTTGGAAGAGACCTCCAAGATCATCGAGTCCAACCATCAACCCAACACCACCATGCCTACTAAACCATGTCCCTAAGCGCCTCATCTACCCGCCTTTTAAATACTTCCAGGGATGGTGACTCACCCACTTCCCTGGGCAGCCTGTTCCAATGTTTAACCACTCTTTCAGTAAAGACATTTTTCCTCATGTCCAATCTAAACCTCCCCTGGCACAACTTGAGGCCATTTCCTCTCGTCCTATCGCCAGTTACTTGGGAGAAGAGACCAACACCCACCTCGCTACAGCCTCCTTTCAGGTAGTTGTAGAGAGCGATGAGGTCTCCCCTCAGCCTCCTTTTCTTCAGGCTAAACAACCCCAGTTCCCTCAGCCGCTCCTCATAAGACTTGGTCTCCAGACCCCTCACCAGCCTCGTTGTCCTTCTCTGGACATGCTGTAACACCTCAACATCCTTCTTGTAGTGAGGGGCCCAAAACTGAACACAGTATTCGAGGTGCGGCCTCACCAGTGCCGAGTACAGGGGCACGATCACTTCCCTACTCCTGCTGGCCACACTATTTCTGATACAGGCCAGGATGCCGTTGGCCTTCTTGGCCGCCTGGGCACACTGCCGGCTCATGTTCAGCCGGCTGTCAAGCATTGAGCTTGGCCAGGTATTTACAAATAAGCTACTCTCGCTGCTGAGCAATCACCTGAGCTTCGGGGCAATTCATCATCTTGAAAGGAGAAGCAATCTCATCTCACAACTAAAGGAGGGACTCCTGTACTCTTGTTCCAATTTCCATCCTTTCTGTTACTTCAGTCAACTCATTTAAACTCAGTTTGAGGTGAAATAAAACATAGTCATCACCAGTTTGTAACAAGTATCATCATGACCACTTGCCATGGAGCATGTGGACACACACACACAAAAAAAAAAAGCCTACCACAGTTTAACTAACTGCTTTGGCAGCTAGTCACTTGTCAGTTCTGCCTCTGGTCAGACTGCAACACTTCTTAGCTGCATAAACAGAATCTGCTTGCCATTCCTGTACAGCAGGTTAGCTATTCCTGCCTCCCAGCACTGTGTGTAGTTGGACATCAAAGTAAACTTGTGGTGCAAGTTACTGGCAGGTCTGCATGCATCTCCCCTTAGGGCATTTATTACATTTTGGAAATATTTATCTTTCACATAAGTTGAAGAACAAAATAGCAGTTGAATGAAAATGACATTGATTTATTATCTGGATGTCTTTGCAAGGTCAGTGAGGAGGTTAAAAATCACAGTTCTGTATCAAAATTGGTCCAGTTGGTTAATGTATCAGATTGCATACATTAGTTATACTGTGAACAACACACTCAGGAACTACTACAGCTTTTATCGACTACTATCACATTATAGAATTCACCTCTTTGCTTCTATTATCATACGTTCTTTCTTCTGCTACAATATACTGATTACCTTCACTCCAGAGCACGCACCATAGATCCATGCCTAGGACACAGAACATGCTTCCAGAAACAGTCTAACATCCCCAGCTGTTTCTCACCTTTTGTTCTACATATTGCATGGTCTTGGATCATTAATAAAGCTTTCACAATAAAAGATCAATTCAAATCCCAGTGAAGTAACTGGGAATATTGTATATTAGGAAAGGGATTAAAAAAATATTGCAAAAAAACCTCTAAGGGCAAGGATTTTGTTCCATTGCACACCTATACCCATAAAGGCTGCACTGTCAGCACTCTAAATCGCATGCAAACATCTTTAAAAGAACATTTGCCAAGCCGAATGCTAAAATGTATGTAGATGCCAGACTCTGGTTGTCAATGCAACCTTGTTTCATGTATATATCCAAGAGCTGAATGGTGACAGCATATGCTCACATAAAAAGTAATCTTTCCTGAGGATCTTTGCCTCTTGGCTCGACATTGAGCAAACGTAACGGTCTCTGGGCACGTGATCCATATCAGACAACATCTTTCTCTACAGTCTTTCAGCAATCCTTTTGTACAGCTTCTCTCAGTTCAGCTACCTTCACTTCCCAGCTTCCGACCTGCTGTTCCAGTGTGAGCTCTGCCCCAGACTCCCCGCTTTCTCCAGTTCTGTTCTTTGCATTTAGATCAGGCAGGCTTCCCTGTGACCTTGTCTACAACCCAACAATAGCTACAGAAGAGCCAGCCTACCTATCGCTCCCACTGCCTATGCTTCACCTGGCTGCAAGTCTAAAGCTGCTTCCGCAAAAGCAGTCCTGTTCAGTCCACACTGGAGCTCGCTCAACCTTGAAGGCACTTTCTGAGATTTTAACTGAAACTTTTATGAACACGCACCAAGTAATATCCTTTTAAAAAGTCTGCATCTATCAAGCTTGGACAGATTTTAACAAGAACATCCTGACACACTGTTAGACAAGGAATTAACTTTAATGCTAAGCTTGGGAAATTACTAGAGCAGCTAAAAGAAAATGGTTATTGGGATTATTTATTTATTTATTTTAAAATGGGCAAAATATAGTTTCTCCTCAGCTCAAATGGCTTAGTTTTTCAAATAAAGTTGATCTGAGTAAGGCAGCTTGCACAGAAAGAAAAAAAAATCGGCTTGAGCCACGTGACAAAAATATAAGGAGGTGAAGGCAGGATCTTATCTTATAAATGGAGGTATTAAGAAAATTTTGTATCAGCTAATACTAACATTATTGCCTCCAAATATTCAGCTTTTTCCATTGCTTCTTTTCAACAGAATATCCAATTTATCAATTCAAATTCCTTTTCACTGACAAATAAATGGCTTGTATTTGTAATCATGAAAGTAACGAAAAAGTTCTGGAACACAAGAAAGAAGAAGTCAAAGATGTTAACAGTCTGAATACTGTTTCCCCTCTTCCCTTGATTATTAGTACTGCGAAAAAATAATTCTAGCATTTCATCTTCAAGTCGCATATTTTGAACATAGCAAGCTTACCTATTTTAAGATACTACCTCCGCAAGCTCTAAAACAGTGTCTTTATGCACGAGTGCACTGTCTATTCACCTAAGCAGCTTCAGCGTTTAGAAGTCTCAGAGCCAATACAAATTTAACTTGTGTATCTGTGGTATTCCTTTTCCTGGCAAAGTACTGTAAGTACGATATAGTGAACTAAACCTGGAAACAAGCATCTAAACTTCTTTCCCAAGACAATCGCTGTATTTATGAATTGCAAAAAGCAAGAGGTTTGAAAAAAAATCGGTTCTTCCACTTCATCTTGAAGAATACGAACACTTATAGAGTGACAGTAAGTTGAACTACCCAAAAAAAGCATACTACACCTACAGCTGAAGACATCAATCTTTTTCTCTAAGAAAAGCAGGCTAATGCACTAGCTAGGCAACAACAAATGTAGCAGAAATCAGAACATCTCATGTAAGACGACTGGTATTTTTGAATTCAAATACTGAGTCCTCGCTCATTTTTGTCAGACAGCTTTGTTTCAAAGACAAGACTACTGAACTATGTTGTAATGACTATCTTAAATAAAACACACAACAGCCACTGTTAGCAGTGATCTTACCTGCTTGTCATTAACAGAGTACTTTTCTATTTCCTTCTTTGTCTGCAACAGCTTCTTCTGAAATGGATATAAGAACAGCTAAAGCATTACAGTTCTGAGAGCAATATGAGTCTTCAGTATTTCAATAAGGCTTCAAAAACATTCCCTAAAACCCCAAAAAGTTATCCTCAACTAGTTCTAACACTTTACTATTGCCGTTTTACAGATTTATGAATATATGATGAATACACGAACTTCATCAAGCTACCAGAACTCACCTATCTGTTTTTTCACTTCATCTTCTAAAGCCAGTAGCGACTTCCGTAATAGACTTAATGCTTTTGCTTCATACAACTACACAGAGCACCTAAGACTGTAGGTATTAATTTTTCTCTTGTATTTTGGTTCTATTTTACATTTATGTAATATTACATAAACTATTCTGCAGAACAATCGCTGTCATGGAATTATCATAAAAATTAAACTGAAATTTGGTAAATTCAAATTGTCGTACTCCTTTCAAGAAAAACTGTGTTATTTCTGGCTGCTTTCAAAGTTACGCAAAATAAGTTCTCAAGTGCAAGTAAATTATCAAAGACAGCTGGGACTGAGGCCCCCCCCCAAAAAGTAAGTGCTTTTATTTCTTGAATAATTCGTTTTTTCTCTACAAATAAAATAACAACCCATTATGAAAACAGAATCATTGCAACTAAATTCTGAATACCTCTTAGTTAAAAAAAACAAAGCAACCCTTTTTCCTCCAAAGCTGTTTTGATGAACAGTTTTTCACTAGTAAAAAGTATGACATAATGCTGATTAGACACCAAAATATTCTGTGAATTTTAAGAATTCTCTTTAATTTCCCAGTTGTCGCTTACTGTAGGGCAATTCTACAGTTTTAAAGAATATAGGAATTTTTCCTGCTTTTGTCTTCTGCCACAGATCTAGACAGTGAAATAATAATGCCGTTAACAGAAGTGATAGCACTGGCAGAGTTTTAAGGCAAGCTAATCATAAATTCCATGCTGGGCTACACTCCTTAAAAAGGCAGCCACCTCTCCTCTTCAACTGCATTAATTTGAAATGCTTAGGATCTCCTTAAAATATACACTGAAGAAAGTATGAATAATTATCAATTCCAAAATTATTCCCCACCTATACAGATTTTGTGAACAGAGTTTATTTAGCCAGTAAAAATACACATACACTTACCTCATCCCTTGCAATCAGTGTTATGAAAGCACCTTGCTTATAACATTCAATAGCAATACATTTTCCAATTCCACTGGAGCCTCCAGTTACCTAAAAGTTATTTGAAAATGGCAGTGTTAGTCCACTATTCTCATCCTTTCTCCCATATGATGAGAGTCAAATCAAATGAAAATTCTAAAAATATTCTGAGATTAAAATATCACCCAATGAGGTATGAATACAGAAGATACTCAATAAGTAAACTAACTCTAGTGTATGAATGAAAAAAGATCTGAATAGATTGATGAGCGTTTGTTTCTACCCCAAAACCAGTTTTACCTCAGTGGTATTTTTTGCTCATTTCTTATGTCAGGCACACTTAGACCCACTCCCACATGGGCTCTCTCACATGCTTTTGACTAAGTTCTGTATGTTATTTCTAAAAGACAGAAGTAGTTAGAAGTCTGAAATCACTATTAATGTTAGCCATAATAATACAATTACATACTGCCCCTCCATACCTGATCGCAGTAGAAATTATTTGTAAAATTAACAATTGTAGATTGCCTGCTGAAGATACCATCATAGCAACATAAACAGAAAATACCTTCTTTCTTATTAAAAAAATTACATTAATTCAACAGTTGGCCCTCTGTGGAGTATTTCTCAGTCCCTCAATCTGGACCTTCAACTGTCTGTGCCATCCCACAATTGCGGTTTTGTGGGGATGCCAGCACCTAAACTTCCACTACCTTTTCTTCTTCCTCTAAACTGTAACACTGAATAGTCTTATACGCAAACAAGAAATTAATAGTTCATCTACAGACAAATGCAGGGTGATGACTACAGCCCTGCATCATATGTTGCAGGAGGATACACCGCCAAACGATACTAATATACATGTTAAAGTCACCTTAACACCTCTCTCACTCCCCTCAATAAACCTGGAGTTCATAAACTCCATGCGGAACAAGATGTAGACGACAATCCTGACCTCTCTTTTTGACTAAAATAAAAATGTCTGCCTGCCTGACACTGCCTTTAGATGACTTGTTCATTTAAGCCCAGTCTCAGTCTGCATGTGCCTTCAATCCTTAAACAAACACTGGTATCTTCCTTATATACCCAAATTATTTGGATTTTCTTTTAACAGCATATCAAAAGGCTATAATTGAGAAAATATTGGAACAAAATGACTAGAAGCTGTTATTGTAAAAAAATTCTGTTAGTGAAATGAGTTCTGAAATACAGATTTCCTAATAACTGGGAAAAAAAGTGATTGGGGTTGCTCTGAAAATCATCATTTTTTGTTCTTTATCAAAACCTTTCAAAAGACTTCAGAAAAAGTAAAGTATCACCTGCATTTTAAGTATGAGAAAATGGAGGCATTGAGCTAATTAGTGGAAGAGGAAAGATCCCCAATCTCTAACTACAGACCCTATCAAAAGCCTTGTGTTGTCTCTCCTCATCTGCCAATGCCTCAGAGTTTTGTTTTCAGAGACGCATTATCCTTAAAATTCTTTCCACTTCTGGAGGCAGTAAAGTCAAAAGAGTCAGAAGTACCTTCCCATGAATGACTAAACTCTTCTCTCATATGAGTATTTTAACACTAACCTTCAAAATAGCTTAGTGTAAGTCAAATAATCCCAGCAAACATTTGCAACATGGTCCATGGTTTCTGACTGGTTCGTCTGCGGTCACAAATTGGCCAAGAATGGGTGTAAAATTCACAAAGACTAATTTCAGCTCTTTAGGCTTCCTCTATTATTAGAGATAGCTGCTTCAGATTAGCTTCTAACTGGTTCTGTTTGCAAGATTAGCTTCACACTACCCTAACCTTCGAGGATGACTCCAAGATGCATGTCCTGTTCTAGAAATGTGAAACCTGGTCTGCAGTGTTCTGAACCAAGGATGACTGCTTTCGAAGTAAATGAAGTCTGCAAGAGTGCAAGTGTTAGTTAACCATTCGGGACTTCAGAGAACCCCAGAATTAATTTAATGCTTCATGATGGAAAGAAGTTAAGAATTTTAGTGTATTCGCAAAATAGCTTGCAAGATTCAATACATCTCTGAAAAGATTAAAAGACTCAGTTTGATACATTCAGGCAGACCTCAGTTCCACAGCACTCGTGAGCTGCTTCCACAGATTTTCAACAGCAGCAGGCACACCAGCACATGAAATAATCAATGTGCATGGAAGACTGCTCCAATTCCAATTTTTGGCATAGCACTGAGAGACAGCTGATTACTACCTGCACAAACTGCTGAGTATCGTGAACAGGTCAACTACACCAGTGCTTGAGGAATTCTTTGAAGGTGAAGGTACTGGCACGAGCCTCTGGCTTGTCAGACAATGCTAAAGTTCATTTCAGAAAGACAAGGTCTTAAGTCATGCAAGAAACAGAAAAAGGAAGTTTTTATTCACAGTCACACACAAGAACACTGGATAGGGCTCAGGTCAGTGACAAAAGGCAATATCAATTAGCTGGAACTTTAGCATTTACGTGGAAGGCTGTTACTAGTATGTGGGAGGTTGTTACTAATACACACATCTTTCAGGAACATTCACCATGAATGCTAATGTAACAGGAAAAAAAAATCCCTAACAATAGTGAAAACTTTGCTTTGTGCTACAATGAAGTTAGCCTAAGCAAATCTATGAAGTCTGTTAGGTAGGTAAGTTGTAACATAGATGCTCAGAATTAAAGGAAGAGTACACATCTACTCCATTACACAAGACGTTATTACGGTTACTTACCCTTGTGGCCAATAGTTCTACAGTGCTACTGCATTTCATTAGTTCGAGACATTTGAATTGCCGTTGATCCCATTTTTAAATTTCACTGTAACCCAGCCTCAGGGGAGTTAGCAAAAATAAAAATCTGATCACAGCAGCTCAAAACACAGACTAATTTCTTGACAGGAAGGGACAATTAAATCCTAGTATTAATTCAGATGTTCAGAATGCAATGCTACCAGCCCTCGAGCACTGTTATTGAGCTGTTTCTGTGTTTGAGAACAACAGGTACCGAATTAGCCATTCCAAAAAGAGTCTGGCTCCAGCTTCTCGAGCTATGATCCTTGATAACAGAGTTCAGCTTCTAAAGATCGTAGGGTTTATTTCCCCCTTGATAAATGGAAATGTTGGGGTGAAATACAGAGAATTGCTGTGTTTGCCTTTCAAATTTGAGATACTGGAAATTCACTTCAATTGATGAGACAGTCCAACTCCAAATTAACAGAACTGTCATCAGGAATGATCAAAAACAAGACTTGATTGATATGGTATCTCCAACAGAGCTTATTAACTTTCACTTAGCACTGGATGCAAGCCGGCTTCATGCTTTTAGACAGTGCTCTGACAGAAGGTATTTAGTTCCACTGAAACAGAACATCCCTGTAATCTGCTCTAAGTGGTCAGTATGCCTGACTAGACTCAAAATGACCTCTTGTCGAACCACTCGGATGCATCCAAGCCACAGATTGTATCACTCCCAACACAAGAACTACAATGCTGAGACACCAAGATTGGCCATCCTTAAAGTTAACTGCAGTTATCAAGTTGGGCTCTGCACAGAAGTGGTGAAACTACTTCTAGACTAGAGATGACCCTTATGCATGTGGATTTGGCATGATCATCCTGAACTACGTCCAAGCGAAAGGCCCTTTTCAATCTGAATGGGAGACAGCCCCAAGCAGAGAACATCTTTACATTTCCTGCCATTGTTAGTCCACAAACTTTGATAAACTGCATTCCTATCACCGAGTTCTTGGTTTTTTTCGCAGAAATTTCAACTTGGTTTTAGAAACATTAAGGCTGAAACAAGAGGGAGAAGGTTAGCATTGCTATTTCAGCAAAGACAGTTTCTCAATCACTCATGAAATTTACAGAAGGCTGCTTTTGCCCTAACACCTTAATTTTTTGTTGCATTCTGCTCCATCAAGCAAAGTACCTTTGTAGAGAAATGGAAAGGAAAAGCAGAGAGAATGTGGGTAGGGCAGGTGTAACACCCCTGACAAAGGGCAGTTAAATGTGATGCAAGTAAGCATGATGCACATGAAGCAGTGATGACTGCCTTATCCTATTTTCATTTTCCTGTCTACTGTTACAACCAGCTACCAAACTAATAGCTTATGCTCACAGAATAGGTGATGTGTGCTAGCATGTAGCCTGAGACCCAAGGAGAGCATTAAAGCCAATGGCAAAATAAAAAGTGTATAAAATAGTCTTCCGGATTTCGAAGCATGGAGAAGTACAGCACAAGAAGCAGCAGCTCTGCAGCACAAAAATAACTTTTAGACCCTTTGAGAACACTTTCCTAGTCATGCTAGAAACAAAGCAAGTAGTATTAAACATCTAAAAAGCATTTAGTTTTAAATAAGCTAAACCTGATGCTTGTGCCAATTTGATAGCAGAAAAGTCCTTTTTATTTAATGGTGCTCACTGGGCTCACCAAAATACATAGCAGATTGGGGGAGGGGGAGAAACCCCAAGATTAGACCATTAGTAATTTAGAGTTCTGTAGACTCTCACTCTGAATAACAGTCCTATTCTTGTCTAAGAGAAAACAGATTCCTCCAGAAGGCATGCCTCGCCTAACACAACGAGTGCTTCCATCATGCAAATGACTCTGGGAGAAGACAGAGAGAAAAAACCCACAAGTTTTCTGCTTCAAATTTCTATCCCAAAAAGCAGCCAGTCAGTTACTTAGCCATAACTCAGACATCTATTAACCGTAACTGTTAGGAGTGAAGAGAAATACTTTTTATGAATGATTAAGAGTGAAAAGAATGCTGTCTTAAGTTGGAAATTCAGTAACTGGTATGTAATAGCATCTGAAGTTGCCCAATGACCTTCCTTCAGAAATGTGACAGATATATTTTCCTGATACTTTCAACAGGCCCCCAGAAAGAAGTTTCTAGACAAGACTGACTTTTTTCTGCTTCAGAAAAACAATTTATTCAAGTATATCTTGGAAAATTATATTTACTGTGCAAAGGTAATCACTTGCCCTCTTGAGAGGGCTTAACCAGCTAAATATGTAATTTGTGGGTTTTATTCCTTTATTTCAAGGGTTTAACTGAGGCCTGACAAAGATTACCAAATGTTAATCTACAGTCTTATCTGAATCAAGTCATAAACTAAAAAGAATTTATACATGCAGATCACAAACAGATTTTGATATTTTTCTACGAGACGACTTCAAAGAAGTCCTTAGATAATGTTACGGTCCTTAAGTATTTTCATGAAGTCTCTTAGTCATTTCGGTAGCAGAGAACACTTACTCCCAGTATACAATGTAAGAATTCACTTTACACACAGTGTGGAAAGCCTCCCTCAACAAAATTTCTGATTTACAGTACCATCATCCAATATTTTTCCTTATGTATTACACTAGAAAATTTGAAATCCAAATGTATACATGTCCAGCATTATTAACAGCATCTACAGATCTAAGAACTAGTGAACTCTGAAACAATTGCTCCATATTTCGTTAGTTTGCATGAATACTTTAAGAGCATAACTAAAGCCAAAAGAAAATGAGTAGCTGTGCCAGTGGTGACAGCAATAAAACTGTTTACCTGAAGATTTTGATTTGTATCATCAAGTCAAATATATCTACAGCCTTTTACTCCATCAACATATTAACATAGTTACTTCTCTAGCTGGACTCCTAATTTTATAAGACTTGCAGGAATACTGTTTTTGAGACTTCCACTTGTATCAAATTGATCTTAAACTGCTAATATAATTAGCGGCAGTGGTTATAAGGAGGTTTCTCCAACAAGAATATTCTCATCATTTTTAATGTGAACTTTTTTCAAATGAACCATTCTGATTAGAAAAAACAGCACAGTAGCTTTTAAGGAGTTTAACCACATAAAGAACAGACAAAACTTGGGATAATCACAATATATAAAAAAACCCAAACCAGCAAAATTTTGGAATAAAATCCATTAAAC